AGGCACCACTGGCCTCCCACACACTTCACTGCCTGTTCTCAATTCCAGGTTGTCAAATACAGTTGCAAGCGGGGTCCAGTTTCAACTTCTCTGCTAGATGCCATTAAATCCTACACACTGGTAAACTTAGCCTAGTTATAATTTAAATTACTGCTAAGTTGTTATTTATTTATTACTAAAATAAATGCAGTTGCCCCACAGAAATAAGTTACAACATAACTTAAAAGAGAGTAAAAACTAAATAATCAGACATCCCCATGGGTAGGGGTGAATCAATGTCAATATTAATCTAGCTTACTACAATGTGCTTTGATACCAACTGGCTCATGCTAGCCAGAAGGCTAATGTGCACAGTAACATGACAATGGAATCGTTGATTGGCTTCTTATGACATACTTATTAACATACAAACTAATTAGTTTAGTAGCTAATTTAATTACAACTAGTTGTTACTCTAGTGTCAACTTTACACCCCAATTTATGAAAGAAATTACACATTGCATGCTAGTGCATCCCAGTGCTGATCTGCAAACCTCGCCTGTCCCTCCTGTTCATGTGTATACATGTCTATGTCTACGTACATGTGTCAAAGAGTGTGTATAGGAGGTGTTTGCCCTGCTGTGCATGCAGATAAGAGTTGTGTCTTGGCTCCTGAAGGAATGCAGCAGGTACTATACTTCAAAATCCAGACAGCGTTTCCATGGCTGAAGTGGTGGTTTCCTGGAGCAGTGTTGCTGAACTCATTCCTGTCTTTTTGTATTGATATAATTCCTAATTCCTCCTCTTACTTGTTGGAATGTTCATTGAAAAAAGAGACAACAGCAGCCAGTGAATGAGAGCTTGACCTGCCAGTGAGTGAGCATAAATTAACTTTGCAGGAGAGGAGCTGGGATTCAAATCCAATCGCTGCAAAACATGGAGGTTATGAGTAGATTGTGTGTCACCAAAGTAAATGTCATTTTGCACTTAGAAAACCCTGTTGGTATCCACCACCTGATTCTCACACATACACTCACACACACACACACACACACACACACACACACACACACAGCCTGACCACAGTTCTTTGTAGACTTTTAAGTCACTCTCTGCAGATCCCTGGCAACCACTTGTTGAAGCCTCACTGCTTGTTGCTAAGTGATGGGATGCACTGGACCAGAAAATCCTTCCATTGACACTGCCTCCACCCCCTTCTCCACCCATTCCTCTCCCTACCCCACCCTTACCCACCCATGGACCGCAGCCAAAACAACCCACATACATGCTGTAACTTCTGCTAGTTACATGGCAAGAAATGTTACTTTGGTACTTTGCCATATTCAACCTGTATTTATCCCCAAAACAGGTGCTATTTAACTTTTTATTATTGGCAGAGTTCTACATATTACACATATCCCCATGCTTTAGTACAATCTAAGAATGCTTCACAGCAGCAGTATCAAATGAACTGTGCCCTCTCTAGGTTAGGTCTAGGTTTAATCAGAGTTTGGTAAGTTCCACCCCAGCAAGACAAATAACTTTTTGAAGAACCCTATTTTATGTTTAGGTGTATATGGTTCCATGAATCACTGAGAGAGTTCTGAACGTTGTTGCTGAAGAGGTTCCAGGGATCGTGGAACCTAATCTAACCCTAACCCTTTTGGATTGAGGGGCACAGGGAGTTCCTGAGAGGGTTCCGGAAGTACTTCCAAAGTTCTGGGGGTTGCGAAAGGAATAGTATGGTTTAAACTTTGATTTTATTATAATCAATATATAAACCACTCTATACACAACTTGTGATCACAGACAAGTTTCAATAATTAAATACTACATTAACTAGATATACCACCAATTATAAAATCGAATCACATTCAGATATAGTTTGAGAAGCTATTAGTTTTCACCGATCCCCCCCATTGCATCTGTTCAGTGTTCACCGTTCTCCTCCTCCTGTTGATCCTGGTGCCCTCCCCCCCACCATCCCCTCCCCTTAGTGACCGATTAGCCGGTGCGGGGTTCTCTCCCATTTCCATGAGAAAGGCGGCGGTCGGTGAAAGGGTTAAGCCTAAGGACGAAGCCCCAAGAAGCAGCCCTAATTTTCTGCCCGGCGGGGGAGAGGGGGAAGCGGGGAGAGGGAACAAAGACGCCCGGGGGAGGAGCGGAGACTCCGGCTTTACTATATGCACCTGCGGCCTGAAAAGCTTTGGACAATGCGCCTCCGACACGGCCAATTACGAACGGGCCATCCACCCGCTTTCTCTGTGGAGAGACGTGGGGAAAGGTGGGGGGGAGTGAAAGGGAGGAGGAGGGGAACGGGGAAAGTGATTTTTTAAAGAGGGTAAAGATAAGAAAGTAAATAATCGAGCTTTAAATCATTCTAGGCACTATAGACTACCGCCCCCATTCACCCTCACGCATCACATCTTCCCATCCCGGCAAGACACCCATGTTCTCCCACTAATGTTCACTTTTGTCCGCAGTGCCTCGGGCAGAGCTGACGGCTCCGCCTGTGAGGACGCTGTGAAAGTGAAAAAAGGTCGGTTTTGATTGCTGGTATGCCGTTCTTAGCTCTGTAATGATTGGATGAACCAGGTCATGTTTGAAGCAACAGCTGAGAAACAGCGAAACTCACGAGTCTGGTAATAACCAGCTTTTTCAACCAGGAAGATAAATTATTCAATCTGGAATAAGGGAAGATTTACTCATAATAAAATGAATTAATAAAAAAACAAATGCAATGATTGTCTGTACCCAAACTCTACATGATTTGATAAATGGCCAACAGTTGTATAAAATACTGACTTACAAAAATATTGGTCTAAAGCAGTATATTACTAGCCTACAACTAGAGCTGCAACTACCTACCAAGTAGCTGTCAACTATTTAATTATATGCAAACTATTTTGATATTTTATTAATCATCTTGAGATATTTTGTAAGAAGAAAAAAACATTTCTCTCATTTCAGTTTTTCAAATGTGAATATTCTCTGGTCTCTTTAGTTCTCTATGGCAGTCAACTGAATATCAAGACCTTTGAGGATGTCAGCATGGGCTTTAGGAAAAAGTGGTCAAGAGTTTTCACCATTTCTAACATTTAAAAGGACCAAACAACTAATCAATTAATCGAGAAATTGACTGTCAGATTAATCGATAATGAAAATAATTGTTAGTTGCAGCCCTACCTACAACTGCTAGCATTACTTACACTCAGTGGCCACTTTATTACAGCAGTAAAATATAATGCAATCAAGTACAAGCTTTACACAGATTATGATGACTTTTTAGTTAATTCAATCATGTTTATTATTGATTCCATCCCCCTCAATTAACGGGCTGGATCGAAACACCTCTCAGTGTAATGCATACATTATGTCCAGTACAACACCAACAATGAACATAAATCAAGTAAATCCACACTTGGGACAGTGTCGACATAAACTATATTATACTATATATATATACACACACACAGATATACACATATATACACACAAATATGTGTACATATATACACATATGTGTACATATATATATACACACACGTACATATACACACACACACACACACACACACACACACACACACACACACGTGTACACATATATATACACACACACGTGTACATATATATACACACACACATCTATGTGTACATATAAACTATATGGACAAAAGTATTCGGCCACCTGACCATAATACCGGACGGAAATGACATTGTATTCAAATACATACACTTTAATATGGAGTTGGTCCCCCTTTTGCAGCTATAACAGCTTCCACTCTTCTTGGAAGGCTTTGCACAAGATTTTGGAGTATTTCTGTGGGAATTTTTGCCCATTCATTCTGTAGAGCATTTATAAGGTCAGGCACTGATGTTGAATGAGGCCTGGCTCGCAATCTCCGTTCCAGTTCATCCCAAAGGTGCTCGATGGGGTTGAGGTCAGGGCTCTGTGCGGGCCAGTCAAGTTATTCCACACTGAACTCATCAAACCATGTCTTTATGGACCTTGCTTTGTGCGCTGGGGCTCAGTAATGTTGGAACAGAAAAGGACCTTCCCCAAACTGTTACCACAAAGTTGGAAGCATAGCATTGTTCAAAATGTCTTGTTATGCTGAAGCATTAACATAGCCCTTCACTGGAGATAAGGGGCCTAGCCCAAACCCTGAAAAACAGCCCCATACCATTATTCCTCCTCCACCAAACTTTGCAGCTGGCACAATGCAGTCAGGCAGGTGACGTTCTCCCGGCATCAGCCAAACCCAGACTCGACCATCTGACTGCCAAACAGAGAAGCGTGATTTGTCACTCCTAAGAACAGGTTTCCACTGCTCCACAGTCCAGTGACAATGCGCTTTACACCCCTCCATTCAACGCTTGGCATTGGACTTGATGATGTACGCACCATGCGCCTTAGCAGTCTTTGACCCCGCTCCTTGATTTTACGTGGTCTTCAGCTTTGTGGCTGACTTGCTGTTGTTCCTAAGTGCTTCCACTTTCTAATAATATCACTTAGTTGACCGTGGAATATCCAGCAGGGATGAAATTTCATGAACCGTCTTATCGCAAAGGTGGCGTCCTATCACAGCACCACCCTTGAAGTCACTGAGCTCTTCAGAACGACCCATTTTGCATCACAAATGTTTGCAAATGGAGACTGCATGGCTAGGTGCTTGACTTTATACATCTGTGGCAAGGGGTCTGATTGGAACACCTGAATTCAAGAATGAACAGGTGTGGCCAAATACTTTTGTCCATAAAGTGTATATACACACACATATATTTATATTATTAAACTATCAGATGAGGAAAACCATGTGATATGATTTAATTTGATTTGTTAAATTAAGTTTTAGAAAGGTTGGATGGGACTGTTGTACAATTTCATGCAATCCAACACAGCAGCCCAAGTATACCTACTTAAGTGGCCATTGAATGTATTTTTGTCATTGTGCGAAATTAACGCCAATATATAATGTTGGACTAAAAGAGCACAGAAACATTTAACATGACATCAATAATGAAAAAAGAATTTGGACTTTTTAATATTGTCATGAATGCCATAACATTTTTTTTTTAATCAAAAGACAGACTCTTAGTGTAAGAGCCCACAAATTTATACATTATTTACACAAAGCTACAGTAACTACAATATGGCTGCATTTACATACAAGAGGATTCATTCTAAAAATAGAGATAAAAGTCAGTATAAAAGTTAAGTTTTCAAATACTCGGGTAGCAATGTAAACATTCATGCATTACTTTAAGAACTGCTCTCCCTTTTTCAAAAATAAGTCAGGCATCTGTTTCCAGTGCATGTTTAGTTAGTAATGGAATAACTGTAATCTACCACATTTAATATTCACAGTTTTGTAGTTTGAAAATGAAAATAAAAGTTCCCTTTAGGTCCATAGCAGCACTAGTAACCACACAGTATTCTAGACAGAAAAACAGACAAATGACTACTGTCAGTTTGAGAAAACCAAGATTAAAAACACTTTTATTTTATAGAATAATATTACCCACAGGTAAAGTTAATCAGAAAAAGTTAAGAAACAGGATGGAAGGTTTGCTGGAGATAAAATCTTAAACTTATTGAGACCCTTTACTTTTGGTAAAAACAGAAATAACTGACAGGTCATTAAAAACATGCCTGGAAGGCCTTTTTATCAATCCAGAGTACTTTGTGGAAGACATAACTTGCAAGTCTTAATCTGCTGGAATAAAACAACTCAACTGAAATGTAGCATTTCATATTAAATTCCATTCACTTAATGAAAAGCCTAAAAACAATAAAACTCTTGCCTAGAGCAAAGTGACAATGAATATGCAGGATGCTGCCAGAACAATGCACCTGAACATTTACATAAGGTCAAATCTAAAACTAATTATAGCAAATAAAACTCAGACAGCAAAAACAGCACCACACATCTTCTAATACTCCACTAAATCCAGCGATGTGGTGTGACTGAGAATACTGGTCATACTGAATGAAGAAATCAGACTGGTTCTACATTTTAAGCAACACCACAGATGATAGAAGCCAATGTATTCTGTTAGTTTCCTGTGGATGCAGTGCTGATTGTCCAACAGGTGTTTTCCATGTCATCCAACAGAATTCCATCACTAAAAAATAAAGTATACAAAAAAAATAGAAGAGTATAAAACCAAAGCCAAGGCACAAAGAGTTCATTTTAACAGCTCTGTCATTGAAGTTGTGCATTTCCTTCCGGTTTTCTCCACCGACACCCAGCTGTTCTCCAGCTCCACTCACACGTCAGGACAGCAACTACAAATGACCAACTAAAGCACTTCAGCTCAGATGATGTGTTTATCACCAGCTGACTGATCCATCAACCAGGTTGCCAGGTTGTTTGTCACTGCTGTGGTTGAAGACAGCAAGGACTGGCTCCATGGTCAAACAGTAGAAAACTAGTCCCTCGCCACTGACTGCCTGGGCATAGTGAAACTGCCAAGAGTGCCAGTGTCACAAGTGTTTAGGGTGGCATTAAGTAATCTTAAGACTTATATGGATAAGTTCTAAAAAATATAAAAAAGACAAAAGTAACATTTCCTAATATGTACATAATAAACAGAAGTTGCCCCTGTCTTCATTTCTTTCATGGACAGAAGTCTGCTGGAGAGGAGTCTCAGCTATGTACGTTTGGTGGGTGGATGTGGCATTTCTCTGAACAGATGGCACCAAAGAGGTAGAAAAACAGCATTTCATATATATATATATATATATATATATATATATATATATATATATATATATATATATATATATATATAAAAATTGACATCACTTGTGTGTAATTGCAGGCACATCTGGAACTATGACACTGTTGAATGCAGGAACAAAAGGTGTTATTTCCTTAATATTGTGTGTCTCTTTGCTTTGCCAGTCTAAAGTCTCCCACGACTGTCTCCGTTGCCTGTCCGGTCAGCTGTGCATCGTCCCTCCCAGTCAGTTAAACCTCTGCATGATTCCTACTTCAGTTTTAGATGTGTGTAAGTGGGACGGTTCCGGTGAGGTAGTGCTGCTGGACACTAGTGTAGCCCCTTTGTGCTGTCGTGGGGTCGCCGGCATCCCCTCCTGGTCCAGGAATATACATGCTAATCATGTCCCTAAGGTCACCCTGCAAAGGCCCCCGGTGGTGGTTTGGCGTCCCCGTTGGAGGTGAGTGGGACACTGGTTCTGCTTTCACCATGGACATGGTGACAGGGCTCGGCTGCTGGGGACTGCTACTGTATGACATAGGGCTGTAGAGGGGAGGAGACGATACAAGTCAGATGCCATCTCAAAGTTTAAAAATATAAATAAATAGAAAAAATAAAAACAGAACTGTGTGTAACATTCTGTGAGAATGTGCCATGGGCAATGGGTTTTGTCATACACTTGATATTTGAATGAATATGCTTTTATTCGATTCGAAAAACCTGAAAATGTAGACTCAATATTTTTTAAGAACCATTGTCCCAAATCAGCAGCATTAATGAACTGAGACTGAAGGTCATTCAGTTTCACAGTTGTGAGTGGGGAAAAAGCTGAACACTGACTCTGCCAAAACAATAGACACATGGACTTGTATCTTCTTGTAATGGAATTTGAATGTCACACATGACTCTTTATGCATAAATACTGTAGGAGGTAAAAAGGACAGGATACATCTTCCACTAAAGTAATTAGCCAACTATTTAACCAAATTGTTGTCCTGTACTTTGACTCATTACCTATTGTACAGGCTATGAGTCAGTAAGTTAATGAGTTGGGTATACACCTGAGTTCAAACCATACCAGATTTATAATAATTATGTGCATGTTGAGACAGAGCCACTGCTGCATGTTTGCGCTACCGATCAGGGTTAGCCTAGTTTACAAACTCACAACGCTTCGGCTTTTCAATAATTTGCCACAAGAGAATGAAATACATCTTACGGAACATGTCTTTTGCAACATTTATTCTTAATAAATGTCACATCAATGGTCTTTTGGTTTGCAAAAGGGCTTGTAATTTTAACAGTACGTAGTGACGTTTCTCAGTGTTCCTTACTAGAATTTGTTGGCAATCTGTTAATTTTTAACTTTTTATTTTTCATTATATTAACTAAAATATTCTTTGTTAAAGTAATTTGTTTAATAAATCAGACTTCTGATTACCTTTGCAGAGTAATTTCTCAGCAAAATTGTCTATTTTCAGAGGTAGAGTAGGATATCTAAGCATCAATTGAGAAGTGGTCCGGACCAATCTTTCGTTCTTACTTTAAACTGGAATTCTGTGGGAGGATGGGCATCAACAAGTTTGGCCTCCAACATGACTCAAAGTTTGTGACATCTAAAACTGACAAGCGATAACACACATAAAAGCATCTTAACGGATTCAAGAACAAAAAAGATGTCTAAATTGATAAAACTGCAGTTGAGTTATTAGTCAAAAGACCTAGTTGAAGATACTGGAATAAATTTCAACATCATCCATCCACACACCAGAATATTTATTAAAGTCTTTGTAAATTGGGGAACATGAGACCAATGGCAGGAGGAGAAGACCCAGAAGTGGAACTGGGACAATGGTTTAGCAGCAATAGGGGATTGTGGGTAGAAGACCACACACAGAGTAGTCCTGCCCGCCGTCAAGTCATACTGATCAACATTCCAAGCAGGACCCAGCCCTGAGCAGAGTGTCACACGAATAACAAGTAGACAACAGACTGAGCCCTGTTGTTTCCTCAGTGACTCAATGGGACTGAATGTACTTCATCTCAACATTTCAACCCGATTAAAATCTAATTTTAAGTGCTCTCTTACAAGTCAGTTTTACACCAGGTGAATTCTGGAGATTAAGAGGAGTACTTCAGACCATCAAGTCACACACACTTGCAATAAAACTGAAAAGTCAGTGTAATTATGGCTTTGTTGTGAACTTGTTTTAACAAGTTAGATCTACAGGTGTGCAGTAATGACTGTATTAAAGATGGACCCACTAATGAAAACAAAAGCTGAATCTAAATACAATATAAAAATGCATAATTAAAAAACCTTGATCTGAATTAATCAATTAATCAAAATATTATCAAAATCGCAATATGGCCAAGTGTAATATGCAAACAGATTTTTTTAAGAAAACAAAAATAATTGCAATGATGTTTTTACCATATCAGCCTTAATCTGAATAAACTGGTTCTTTGCTTTGGTGTTAGAGTGTGTATTTTCATTACATATAATATATCTTATACCACTTATTTGAAGATTCTGTGAAGACACGCACACTCTCTCCTCCATTGATTGTCATTTGAAAGCACTCACACTCTTATCCATCTTTTTTGGAAAGTCATCATCAGGTCATGTGATAAGCTTGGCCTTTTGTTTAGTACTGAAGAGGTGGCTCTGACCTACAGAGCATGTTGGACACCTTGTTTGGTGGCTTTCTTTGAAGCTTATACACTTCTTGTGTTATTATCAAAGACTTCTATTGGAATAAACAAAAAATGGCCGAGCCTATGACTTATGAATATATGAGAACCGCAACTGAGTCAATGTTAATGGTTTTGTTTCCAGTGGGACAGTTTTTGGAGGAGTTTGCTTGATGGACAAGGTTTGCAAACCTCACTTAGTCAGTTGTATCCTTATTTATGAACTTGACTGTAAGTCAGGCTGTTGTCGCAGCCCGCACTTTATAGTTTAAATATTCAAGAGGTTATTGTCATATGCACAGAAGAAACAGTGGTATATACCATACAATAAAAATCTTACTTTGCCCGACTCCCTTTACACAACACTGCATTTTCTTCAGGATGTGGCATGATTAAAAACGGCTTTAAAATCCGTGGAAGTTCAGCAAACTGCCTTTAAAAATTGTACAACTGGATACCATTACAAACTTAAATTTAGTGACTTCCTACACAAACACAGCTCACCTGTACGAGTTGGCTCCGTTCATGTACGTCTGTGCCGTCATTGCAGGTGGGTACTGGAGAGCCGACAGGTCATACCGGTGTAACTGCTGTGTGTAGCCGAGCGCCTCACCCTGCATGCCGGCGTACCCCCCGGTGGGGCCCCAGCCGTAGCTCTCCATCCTAGGACTTCCACCTTGGCCTTGCGCCGCCGCCGCCGCCAGCATGTTCCCAGCGGACAGTGGGTACTTGCCCACTTGAGTGTCCTTTTTAAGCAGAGGTTTTGTCTTGCGGCGTGGCTTGTACTTGTAGTCTGGGTACTCCTTCATGTGTACTGCTCGGAGCCGCTTGGCCTCGTCGATGAAGGGTCGCTTCTCGGCGTCAGTCAGGAGTTTCCACTCAGCTCCCAGACGTTTACTGATTTCAGAGTTGTGCATTTTGGGGTTTTCTTGAGCCATCTTGCGCCTCTGTCCCCTGGACCAGACCATAAAGGCGTTCATGGGTCGCTTCACTTTATCCATGGGGTCACCTCCAGGCGCACATGCCGTTTTGGAGCTCGGGTGAGAGTTGCCATTACTGCCCATGTTACCGGTCATGTTGCCGGTGACCGGTGACATTCCCTGGGAGGTCTGGTGAGAAGGGGGCTGGCCGGTCGGCTTCAGCTCGTGTTCCATCATGCTGTACATGTTGGACAGATAGAGGAAAGTTCAAAGGAGTAAGTGAAAAGTTGAAACGCTGAAGCGCACAGCAGCCTTTTGTCGCCTTCCACCTGGCGACTTGTAGCCAGGTTTCCCGTCAGGTTTAACCGGGAGCGCCGGGTGATCCAAATTAACTAATTACTCACAGCACACAGAGGAGGCAACACACCGCAGAGGAAGACCAGTTTTTCAGGTTTTTCTTAAATGATAACTCTGATTCTGGTAGTCATTACTTTGATACTAACATAGCTACACATAGGATATTCAAAGTGAAGCAGATGACTGTCCTCGGTGCTGCGGACCTCTGTCTCTGCGGAAAGCCACTTGTTGTCAGACGGACAGCTCACACACTGAACTCTACTGCCTGCTGACTCCAAAACTTCTTCTATTCTCGTGCAGTCAGCCGCTTGTGGACCAATGGGAGAGCGGAAAGCTGCAGCATGTGCGCGTGCATTTGCAACTGAAACGGCTCCAACAGCGCGCGACTCACTTGTTGATGACGGAGGTGGAAAGAGGAGGAGGCGCTCCAGGGAGACAGTCTTGATAATCAATTATTTCAGAAGAGGATTAGGCATGTGAAAAATGTATTTGAGTTCTGAGTTTAAAGATCACACTGTTGTAATTAAAATAAGTTTGTAGATATTTCTTTAAAGCAAACTGAAGTTTTTTTTTTTTTTTAATGACATGTGTTTGGTAATCCTTATGGGATTATTTTTAAGGAAGTCATTTTCAAAGTCTTTGTTTTATTGCAAGAAACCAAGCTCAATAGACTTAAAGGTCCAGTGTGTAACATAGGTGGATATTTTGGCAGAAATGGAATATATCTTGTTGAACTAGTGTGCCTCTTTAGTCGCCCAGAATGAACAAACCAAACACAGACTAGGGCCTTGTGCGTTTCGCGTGTTATGGCCACCGTAGTGGCCAGCAACCTTTACGATAAAAAGGGCCAACAATAAAAATCTGTACAACATACAGAGGAAAAGACGCCAATTTTGCGTGCCATGCTGCACAATTTAGTTTATTTTTTTATTCAGTATGTAATTTTACAATTAGAGAATGTAAGAATTAAAAGCACCAAAGTCACACAATAACACAAACTAACTGATCAAAGTAGCAGTAGTCCAGGAACTCCTGTGTTCTTTAAGGTAAAAATGCAGTTTTTCTCTATGGAGTCTGGTGGCGAGCAATAGGGATATTGCAGCTGTTTCTGGTTAAACAAAAGGTCTGTCTCTGTAGGGATAATTTCCATACTGTTGTTAGACACTTCGAATAACAATCTGAGCCTGTCAGTGGCTCAGACTTTAAAATAAGAACTGTTATTTATTTCCATACAATGTTTTGTCAAAGCCACAGGGAGCCACTGGAGAGGGGCTAAAGAGTTTGGAAGGGGAGGGTGAAGCAAGGGGGTTGTAATCTGCAACTACACTACTAGATGCCGCTAAATCCTACACACTTATCCTTTAAAACCACAAGCACAGACTCTTTGGGCTTTTCCAAAAAACATTGGGAGAGCAGCAAAGACAACAACATTTTTTTTTATCTCTATGCTCTAAGTAGGAAAAAACATTCTATAATGTAAGTAGACCTCCATAAAAACGTACAGATTTTTTTGTTTGTATGGAAGCCAGATTAACTTTAGGGCCTCGGGGCAAAAATATTTTTTGCGCCCCCATTCTGCAGTGTGTATGTACTGTATCCTGTTGGGTTTGAAGATGTTATTATTGTGTTGTTGAAATAATAAAAATAAAAAATGTTAATCATAAAAAAAATCATGCTCATAGGCCCTGCTCCTTAAAATTAGATTTTCAGTGAGCACAGATAAACTTTCCACTTTCAGCAGATTTCAATTCAATACAATTCAATTTTATTTGTATAGTGCCAATTCATAACAGAAGTTATCTCAGGACACTTTTCAAATAGAGCAGGTCTAGACCGAACTCCTTATAACATTATTTACAGAGACCCAACAGTACCACCATTAGCAAGCACTTGGCGACAAGGGCAAGGTAAAACTGCCTGTTAAAAGGCAGAAACCTAGGACAGACCCTTCGGCTTTAGGTGGGTGGTCGTCTGCCTCGACCAGTTGGAGTGAGAGAGAGCGAGAGAGAGACAGACAGAGAGAGAGAGACAGAGAGAGAAACAGAGAGAAACAGACAGACAGGTGTACAGCAACAACAGTAGCAACAACTACACTTAGTAATAGTAGTGACTGATGACGATGAACATGAATAAAGACGACGACGACAACAGCAACGATGGGGGACAACAAGCAGCGACAACAGCAACAACAGTAACTGTAGCAATAATAATACTTATAATAATAATAACACTAATATCAGTGATATTTAGCAATGACAGTCAAGCAGGACCATGGCAGGAGGCCATGAGATCCATGAGAAAGAGATGAGAAATGAGATGAGAAAGCTCCGGGATGAATGTGAAAGCATCCTTCTGTCAAACTCTGCACATACATCATTCGGCACAGTGAACATCCAGCTGTAAGAACTATTTTTGAGTAGAGGCACACTTTAAGTACCCATCAGGTACGGTGTGGACTGCAGACTTCACAGCAGTTTCATTGTATTTTTGCCAGTTTTTAAAACTACATTTTGACACAGCGCCCCCAGAGTAAGATATAGTTACTCTAGATGGCATTAACTTGGCCTCTAGCACCACTGTCAGGAATCTTGGAGTTATCTTTGATCAGGATTTGTCATTTATCTCCCACATAAAGCAAACCTCTAGGACTGCCTTCTTTCATTTACGTAATATTACAAAAATTAGACACACTATCACAGACAGATGCAGAAAAACTAATCCATGCATTTGTTACTTCAAGGCTGGATTACTGCAACTCTTTATTATCAGGTCTCTCTCTCTCTCTCTCTCTCTCTCTCTCTCTCTCTCTCTCTCTCTCTCTCTCTCTCACCCCAACTGGTCGAGACAGACGACCACCCACCTAGAGCCGGAAGATCTGTCCTAGGTTTCTGCCTTTTGACAGGCAGTTTTTCCTTGCCCTTGTCGCCAAGTGCTTGCTCATGGTGGTACTGTTGGGTCTCTGTAATTAATGTTTTAAAGAGTTCGGTCTAGACCTGCTCTGTTTGAAAAGTGTCCTGAGATAACTTCTGTTGTGAATTGGTGCTATACAAATAAAATTGGATTGAATTGAATTGAATTGAATTGAACATAAGAGCTTCAAGACTAGGTAAAATGCAGCACCCTTTCATCTTATGTTATCAAAAGGTCACTGCCACAGATAAAATAGAAGAAAGTTCCTTGTATCAGTCAGTCAATCAAGACAGTTTGTTAATCTGTAGGTAATAGGCTAAAATCTTTAGTTCATCATGGTGTTGTTCACTGAGCTCACAGTTCTCCCAACTTTGTATTTTATGTTACATTAATACTTTTATGTACTCCATTATTATGCAGATACACCGCAACTGCTTCTTGCTAAATATCCCTCCATCAGTAACAGAGTAAACTAGTCCAACTCAATCAAAAAGCACATTATTATTTGGCTAGCCAACTGCAAATGAAATGTTTTCTAGAAAGTCTTTGAGAAGCCTGACCCTCTTTTTAGATGATTGTGCTGAAGACGTGTCCCTATACACAGGTATTCATTTAGCTTGACACACAGAATTACTTTAGAGCTGTAGGAGAATGAGGAAGATCTTTGTTGGTTTGACTAAATAGATTAGAGTCTTTGTTAATGGCAGTGTTCCCCAAAACTACAAGGACTATGCTGTCTCAGTCTACTCAACAAAAGTTGTCTTTAGTGATGTATTGAAAATCAAATTAAGTTATAGACAGAATTATTCTTTAATTTATTATAAAGTGCAGTGTTTCCTGAATATACACTTAAATATTGTGTAGTTAATGATCACATACAGAAGCTCAAATACATTCTTGTTTACCATTTTTAAGGATGGCTCATTTTCAACATGTCTGTGTGTGCAGATAAATCTACCTGGAGGGAAAAAGATGTGCGGGTATAGGCCCACAATTACTTCCCCATTCCTCTTACCCTATATACAATGTGCAATAGCACCTGGCCTCAGGTTTGTTGTGTGGTTATTTAGTTAAAGGTGTTAACAATTATTAATGTGTTACATGATAATAATATGCACCATTACCCACAATAACAACTGGTCCTGCTTTATTTCCAAATCATAAGAGCCCTGTTTTGAAGAGAAGCTGTGTTCCAAAATCTAGTTTGAAACTTTCATTATTTCTGTTTTGTGCTTATGTTGCATATTCCTAAATTGTTTTCATGCACTCTGACAAGATGGATTGTTCCCTCTGTCTTTTTAATTTATTATGAATTTAGCAGAATCTAGCAGTGTACTTGCAGATTGCAGCTCATTTGCTTTTCCCTACCCATCTAAGCTCAAAAGGAGAAACTATGATGGCCACAAAAGGAAAAAACAGCCTTATCTACAACCAGTATTTAGTTTATCTGTTCTGGACTACTGTAGAAAAATGACAGTTCAACATGGCGGACCCATAGAAGGCAAAAGTATTATTTATTTCTTTATCAGTGGAATCACTAAATCATAGTTCTAAAATAAAAGACCTGTTGCATGTATACTTGGATGTACAGTAATCTGAGATGTACAGTATATGTAAGCACATTTCTTGTGTAACCTAATTTCTATAGTATCCTGGTTGCTTGTGTGCATTTAAGCGAGCTCAATGAAACCACTGCGCTGACGTAGTGGGGCTTCAGACAGAAAATGCAGTTACTGCAACATACTGCACTGACCAATCAAATATTTGCAAGTCCACCTTCCTGGTAGATTACTTTGTTACTAATGGGGTTTTGCATTGTTCATCTCATAATATTCATGTAGGAGGATAAAATGATCACAGTTTCCCCACCATAACAAACCCTGTTGTATCTGTGATTAGTGATTATGTTAATATGTCTAATGACAGATTCAGACTGCATAATATATGAGTTGGTCCCTGACCACTCATAGCTTGTTTCATCGTTCCACTTCGCAGCATCAACAACAGAAATTCCTTGTCACTACATTTGCAGTTGTGCTCCTATTGGTCAACATCTGGAACATGTTGAGGTTTTTTTTTTGCGGAAGGCAAAATACAAATCTAGTATATAAAGCAAGTCTTTCTGCCAATTCCAGGTATGGCAGTAGGGTTGCTGTGCACTATAATACAATACACAGATGCCCTACTTCTGTGTGGTCAGGCTATTATCAGGCTTATATCATGTAGTCTAAACCCAGCATAATGTACAATTGAAAAAATCTTGGAGTGGTGAATTGAGCATGAAGGATGGGTTCCAATTCCCACTCCATTTTGGATCCGTTTCCAATGTGGTAGAAAACACAAATTTGTTAAGCTCTGCCAGTGAATCCCTTATTGAATCTTTCATTCAAATCTCTCTAAGTCTCTTTTGCCTATTTCTGACA